TCATAAACATATTGATGATTTGCTTTGACTCTAAAACTTTAACTACCGAGTAATTTCTGAGTCAGTTGCCCTCTACAAAATCTGTTTTCATATACGTATGCTTCTTTTGAAAGCATGCTAATGCAGGAAAGTTAAAGAGCCCATATTATGGGTTTTTGAAAATTCCCCTTCATGTAGTGTGTAACACAGCTCTAAGTGAAGTGAAGTATTCAGCTAAGGCTTAAATCTGTAAGAATACAGTGTTTAAAACGTTTGATTCATCTATAAAAGAGTCGACTCATAGTGCTTCAAACGAGTTGCCTTGATACCGAGGCATTAGGTGTTTCGCCATGACGTACGAACGAAACCAAGTTATTCACGTGCACGCGCAAACCCGGGAGATTTCAAACCTGAGGCCCCGCCCTCTGACGCAGAAACCCAGACACACACACACACAAACACACACCCACCCACAAACACACGCACACAAACATGCCGGTCGATTAAAGTCACACTGCAGATGGATATTATATCGAGTCTCTACCCAAAGATGAAACATCAGCATTATAGCCAAGCAGTTGGAAACTACTGGAAACTACTGGAAGCTACATGCTACAAAGAATACTTCATCTGCGTTTGTTAAAGGAAGGATCAGTAAAGAGTAACTTACTGATGGACGTCAGGATGGGTTTCTTCCTCCATTTCTCAAGTGTAAGTACTTGCGATTAAAGTTGTGGCCTCGTTGACTCTGGCTTGCAAATGTATTTAGTTGTGATTTGTTACTTGTAACCGAGTGTACTGTATCAGGTTAACTGGCTATATTCTCTTATCGCGTGCAAAGTCACGTTAAAAACGCGAAGCGTGCTGCTTTGTTTATGGAGCTCCGTGGTAGAGGTCTGTCCCCGCACCAGATTTCTGCGGCGCGGTAATAAATTTCCGAATAAATAGCGGGAGCGGTCGGTAACGGGTTTAATTTGGGACGGGAGCGGGCTGTCTAGCAATATCACGGATATTGCTATGCGAATGAGAAAGATGTGTCTGCTTGGTGCTTGTGTGTATGTGTGTTAGTGCGCACACGCGCGTATGAGAGAGAGAGAGAGCGCGAGCGAGAGCTTTGTGTGCTTGGTGCTGTGTGTGTGTTTATACAGACAGCTTGGCTGTCTGGACTGTATAGCTGGGTGATTTTTGGTTGTGTTCTCCCCCGCTCTTTAGCGAGATAGGGCGCGGCGGGCAGAAAACGGGGCGGGTTCTAAGGCTAAAACCTGGCGGGTGCGGGCGGAAGCGGGATCGTTGTAGTCCGGAGGTGTGTGTGTGTTTTTGTGTGTGTGTGGCAGCTAAAATCCACGCCTACACTATCGAGCGTGTATGAACTGTGATTACTTTTTATATTGCTGATTAGCTATTGGCCATTTTACTCTCTGACTTAGGCCAGTCGGCCAATCGCGACAGACTGTCATTGGTCCTATCAGCGCAGATTAGCTTCGCGCTAAGGAGGGGTTTGGGAACAAATGAATCACTGGACGATTCATACAGGAGTCGCTGGGATAATTAGGTAAAAATAAACGCAGATTATAAGACCATGAAAGTGTTTTTTGACCTTGCATGCATATTAGACTGTTGTTGGAGACCCTTACAACCAAGATATGACCCTATTTCATGTATAATATGGGCTCTTTAAGAATAGCCAAGAAAGTGCTTGAAAACAGACAAACAATTGCTCTTCGTTTTATTTTTTGAAAGAAAGAACTCTGCGTACTGAGGTTTAAGGGAATATTTGGAAAGAAGATATAGACTGAAGGTATTGGTAAAACAACTATGATTTATTGGGTGAATTCTGCTAGCTGGGAGAAATATTATCCTTTAATGCCTGGAAATGAAAATCACCCGTCTCCTCGCAGACACCTCAAACAGCTCCAGCAGCCCTACCCTACCATTAGAGAATCAGTCTGGCAGAGCACTGATTAAAATTGATTTAAGTTTTGAGTATATTTGGAATTGATGATACAAATGTCTACAGGACTTATGGGCTGTCGTTTGAGCCAGAGCCCAGTCATACGTTCTCTCTGTGTCAAGAGGTATGGAGCTCTTACAGTTCAGTAAGCCCCTGAAGGTAGAGTGAGTTCACTATCTTATAGCCAAGTATCCTCTCAGGTATTTAATATGGCATAAAAATCAAATAAATATTAATAATACAATAGCGGTTCATTCCGCTGTGGCAACTTCTGATTAATAAAGGGACTAAGTCGAAAAGAAAATAAATGAATGAATTTATGAATAAATAATAATACAATTATATTCACAAATGGCAATCATTAAGGTCCAATAGCAACTCATAGCGCATTTATCATTAATCATTAAAGAGACCCAATTATGGGTTTTCAAGAATGATCTTCCATGGAGTGTGTAACAAAGCTCTAAGTGAAGTGAAATATTCAACTAAGGCTTAATCTAAAACTGCACAGTGTTTAAAACTATGGTTGATTCATTTATAAGAGTCGACTCCTAGTACGTTAAATGAATCGTCTTGATAACGAGTCTTTAGCCATTTCGGCGTGACATGGATTTTCATAAGTGTAAGTAAGTGCAATTAAAATGGTTGCCTTCTTGTTTTCTCCAGCTTGCAAATTATGTGTTAAATTGTGTTTTATTACTTGTGACCGCCTGGACTGTAGCTGGTGAACTCTTTATATTCTCTATCGCGTCTAATGCCACTTTGAAAATGCAACACGTGCTGCTTTGTTTACAGATTTAATTGCGTGTGAGAGCTTGCGTTCCACAGCCGTTTGTCGTTGTTATGGCCATCATCAGCTGTTCTTACACACTTGCAGCAGTCAAGTTTCAAAATAGTTCAGCTTTTGCCACTGTGTGGATTAGGTTCGGGGTGAGGAGTCTGAATAACACTCTTGGCCAGAGCAAGCTGAACTGGCACTCTAGGCGAACGTTGATCAGGCCGCCCTCAACCCAAAAGTGAAAAAACAGTGACCGGTTCGTGGATGAAAGCAAGGACTGGGAGGGAGGGGGTGGGTGTTGGAGATGAAAGTTAGGACCGGGGGGTTCGTGGACGCCGCCTAGGTCCCCTCTATGAATGGGCCGGCATGGTGAGAACCAGGTACTGTGTAGTATAGTGTTAGTAACTACTATGAAGCATGTTTCAGCCGCTTACCAAATTGGGAGGGTGGCTGGAGTCGAGTCAGAAATAAGGGAGACTCCTGGGAAAAACAATATTGGCAGTGTTGGCAGATTTGCTCACACATGCACTATGCACTCTGACTACTTTTATATTGTTGATAAGCTGTGATGGGCTTTACACTCTGTCTTGTATTGAATGCTGTCAGTGTTGACCAATCGCAACAAGCTGTCATCTGTCCAATCAGCGCAGATTAGCTTCATGCTAAGGAGTAGTTTGGGAACAAATGAATCTCTGAACGATTCATATGGGAGTCGCTGGGATAATTTGGTAAAATTAATGCATATTATAAGACTATGAAAGTGTTTTTTGACCTTGCATGCATATTAGACTGTTGTTGGAGACCCTTTCAACCAAAATATGATCCTTTAACCATTCAACCAAATATTTAATGTATAATAAGGGCTCTTTAAAGTAATTAAGGTCGTCATTAGAATTGTAATAAGCCAAACCCTTCAAAAGATATGTATAAGCAAATATAAGATATTTTATGTTTTGAAAAAAAAAAATAAAAAAAAAAAATATATATATATATATATATATATATTTTTTTTTTTTTTTTTTTTTTTTTTTTTTGCCATCAATGTAAATGTTACTTATAGCATTACCTATGTTCAGTTTGCAGTGCACTTGAGTACTGGAGAGACCCACCTGCTTTGCTCAACTTTTAGTGTTGCATTGGGACAATGTGAGAGACACCTATCAAATTAAATATCGTACAGTAAATATTATAATTTCTTGAGTTGAAGAATAAGCATAATCGAGGGTTTAGAACCTTTAATATTTACCATAACTGGCTAACAAATAATAAAAATAAATTGTGAACATGCAACAAAAAGGGTGGATGCATATTACAGTGTAATAGGAATCTGGAACAGGTGTGTGTGTGTGTGGTGCATGACTGGATCTTGTAGTCCATATACCAGCAGATTTGTTGTGCGCTAGTGATCTACACAGGCTGTATTGCTGGTCACCATGACACAAAGCATTATTTTTAGAGTATTGTTTAGCACCAACCTGATTTCACCAATTAGGGCATCTTCCTGGATAAACGTTTATGTTGATTGTGCAACAACATTCAGAATCAGAATCAATGGATACATTTATTGTTCATGTTAAGTTTAGGCTTACGAGACTTATGCACTTCTACATGATGGTTTCCAACTATTATTCCCCTCTGATTTTGGGAATAATTTACAGTAATTTACATGGTTAGGTTTAGAAGTAGGGAATAGGTTGGATATCAAACAAAAATTATGTTCTAAGATCAACATAGATGACGTGCATTGTTTAGAGTATTATTTTCACACACACACACACACATATATATATATATATATATATATATATATATATATCATATATATATTAACCCGGGGTCGCCACAGCAGAATGAACCACCAACTTATCCAGCACATTTCTGGATGCCCTTCCAGCCGCAACCCATCTTTGGGAAACATTCACACACACACACACATTTACACACACGCACACATACACTACGGACAATTTAGCCCACCCAATTCACCTGTATACCACACGTCTTTGGACTGTGGGGGAAACCGGAGCACCCGGAGGAAACCAACTACTGCGCCACGGCATCGCACTACATATATATTAATATTTTTTAAATACTGTGTAGTACAGAAATATAGCCATAGCTGGATGCACAAAAGATAGTAAAAGCCCAAGCTAATTTAAAATTAGTTCATAAAGTGTAACAAAATAAAATGTTGATAATGAAAATTGTATTAATCAGATGTTATTACATGCAGTAAATCAGTAGTGAATAAAACAGGATGAACTGACCAGTGTTTTCTTGTTGTCTGTCCAGGTACCTGTTTGTGATTTACCATGGCCAAAGTGCTCTGCAGCCTCCTTCTTCTAGGAAGCGCAGTGATGATGACCACCGCCTGCCCTAAATATTGTGTCTGTCAGAACTTGTCGGAGTCCTTGGGTACACTCTGCCCGTCGAAAGGTCTGCTGTTTGTGCCCCCTGATATTGACAGAAGAACTGTTGAATTACGCCTTGGAGGAAATTACATCATTAAAATTACTCAGCAAGACTTCACCAACATGACAGGCCTTGTGGACCTTACACTTTCAAGAAACACCATCAGCTTCATTCAGCCATTCTCCTTTGTGGATCTTGAAACTCTGCGTTCGTTGCACCTGGATAGCAACCGTTTGACAGAGCTGGGTCCAGATGTCTTACGAGGCTTAGTAAACTTGCAACACCTCATCCTGAACAACAACCAGCTTACACATATCTCCAAAGAAACTTTCGATGACCTGCTGCTCACCTTGGAGGACCTAGACCTCTCCTACAACAACCTGCGGGGCATTCCCTGGGACGCCATACGCAAGATGCTCAACCTACACCAGCTGAGTCTTGACCACAATCTCATCAACCACATTGCTGAGGGCACTTTCACTGATCTTGAAAAGCTAGCAAGGCTGGATCTTACATCAAACCGTCTCCAGAAGCTTCCACCAGATCCTATTTTTGCTCGATCGCAGAGCAACATCGTTCTCAGTACACCATTTGCCCCTGTTCTGTCTCTCAGCTTTGGTGGGAATCCTCTTCACTGTAATTGTGAGATTTTATGGTTGCGACGCCTAGAGAGGGAGGATGATATGGAAACCTGTGCCTCCCCTCCAAGCCTCAAAGGTCGTTACTTTTGGTATGTTCGAGAGGAAGAGTTTGTCTGTGAACCACCATTAATTACTCAACACACCCATAAGCTTTTGGTCCTGGAAGGACAGACGGCTAGTTTACGCTGCAAAGCTGTTGGTGACCCTATGCCTTTTATACACTGGATTGCACCAGATGACAGGCTAATAAGCAACTCATCCAGAGCTACTGTGTATGAAAATGGTACTTTAGACATTGCAATCACCACATCAAAGGATTATGGGACATTTACTTGCATTGCTGCAAATGCAGCAGGAGAATCAACAGCCTCAATTGAACTCTCCATCATCCAGCTTCCTCATCTCAGCAATGGAACTAACCGCACATCTCAGCCCAAGTCCAGACTATCTGACATCACCAGCTCCACTAAAACCAGTAAAGGCGAGACCAAAGCCCAGCCAGAGCAAGTCGTTTCAGTGTCAGAGGTCACTGGAGTCTCTGCTCTAATCAAGTGGATGGTTAGCAAAGTATCGCCCAAAGTAAAAATGTACCAGCTGCAATACAACTGTTCGGAGGATGATGTCCTGATTTATAGGTAAATATTCTATGTTTCCTTTCCTTTAAACAACTGGAGACTGATTAGGCACATACTTTAGGCACAAGTTCTTTTAGTTTCTCATTGAATATATGTTGGAATTAGACAAATAGATTGTATCTCAATTTAAAAAATGGCCGTAAAAATTCTGGTTAACTGGTTAAGAGTAAGTTTTCATAATATATACAATAAACAACTGTTAATGGACTTCTCCATAATTCCTCACTTTTTATGCTTTTTTTTTAATTGCTATGCTTTTTTTACTTATCGGTTATGTACATTAGAGTTTTATGTTACATCTAATTTCGATAAACAATTTTTATTGCATTACTTTAATTTTATGCAGCAAATATACTGGACTTTAACTCCATGTAGGAGTTGTTGACGGGGCCCCCCGCTACACCACTGATTGTATATTTGTTACCATGATGTTTTTTTACTAGTTTTTTAATAGTAGAGTTTTTTTTCTAACAAGAATAGGTATTATTGGCAACCACTTTAAATGTTGTACATACAGTTCTAACATTAACACTACACTGAACTTACGAGTAAAAAAAAAAGTTTTTTTATTTATTTTTTTATTCAGTAATTCCTTTGCATATTATTATAAGGAAGCTTGCATACCACTAGTGGTAAGCATGTCACATTTGTAGAATCACTGGCCATTTAGAGGATAGAAAGTACAGTGACATTTAAGCAGTTACCTATTAGAATTTGCTTCCCTATAAGCCCATCTTAATAACTGACTCACTTAACCTTTCTGGAATCAGTTAGCTACAAATTATGTCTAAACTCACCAGCAGCAGTTAACAATTTATATTTCTTCTTGTCTGAGGAGTATTTCCAGGCAAAAATAGGACCATTATGTGGCTGAGTCAAGGAAATGATAGCCATTATTACATGAAAATTGCAGTGGTTGGTTCTTTAAAAATGCCTAGTGAAAGCCAGTATGCAGTCAATTTAGCTGCATCAGGTATACATTTATTTAAATATGTTTTTTAATTATTTATAAATTTTCTAGCTTATTTATCTTGGTTTGTTTGCATTATATATATATATATATATATATATATATATATATATATATATATATATATATATATATATATAAAAAAAAAAAAAAAAAAAAAAAATAAATAAATAAAAAAAAAATATATATATATATATATATATATATATATATGTGTATGTGTGTATACTCTCTCTCTCTCTTTTTTTATATATAGAGAGAGATTTTTTTATTT